TGTTTGTGGTGACGTGCCCCGTTGGACTCGCAGCCTTTCGGGTATGGTATGGGGGTTATATGTGCGTATATAGGGGTGTAGGGCGACCTACACAGTTTATGGAAGTCATTATAGGCGTATTGCCGGTTCCTTTGGACTCAACGCCTTGCTCAGGGCTACACCCGCTGGCAGCTTGTTGGCAGACCTTTAGGGTATAGGTTTCAGGGTCTAGGGTTTGGGGTTTGGGGTGTGGGGTGAAGTAGGTTGAGAAGGCCGATGATTCTCCCAATAGCCTCTATGTGTTTGCATACTGCTAGCTCGGCAATTTTGAGTATGGGATCCTATACTACATCCCGCCCTTACTACCACTTCCAGAAAACAAGGTCTGAATGAACGGTAACCAGGTTTTACTGGGGTTCTGTTTTTAGGGGAGTGGGACAGCACACGGTCCCATAATCTGAATGGAATGTGCCAATAAAGCAGGCAAGCTCCAATTGTGGTACACACAGCTTGCAGCATGGCTTCGGATCATGTCCCAAGGCAGCAGCAGCTCAATCAGGTCCTAACAGGAAGTCAGGCAGCATCTTCCTTAGGATTCGGAGGATCCATAATTCACCTTCGTCATGTCTAGTCTCGGCGCCAGAAAAATCATCTAGCCAACAAAAGCTTGAAGTAATTTCAGGCCTTTGAAGCCAGGAAATGCTCCCGGCTTTCTCACGGCATAGTTCAGCGAACTCATCCCAATCTGCGGCTTACATGATCCATTGCCCCTAACATGCCTTCTTTCAAGGTTTAGATTGATCTTAAGTCTTAAGCTTTCGAGTTCGCTAGAAGTTGCAGAGCCCACAGAAGAAGTCCGCTTTCAAGCCTACGAGCGTTTGTCACTCTTGGCCAAGCTGTGGAATATTTTGATTCATCAGGCTACAGCTTTGGGAGTAAGATTGTAACTTCCTTGAGATGCGCCTGCGTAGCTAAGGGAGCTAGTCAAGCAGCCCCAAACGTTGGAGAAAACTTGGGCGGCCATCCCACGACACGGCCCGAGGGCCCAAGGAATTCTCAAGTGATGGTGTTTGTTGCAGCCCTGAATCCCAACTTTGAGGGACCTTGGGGTAAAGTATGGCATTCTATATGGGTTTAGGGTTCTGAGTGTCTCAATGGCCAACCAATAGTTGCAAAGCAGAATACGTAGTTCCCTGAACCTTTTAGTAATGGAGGTTGTCTAGCCCATAGCCTTAACATCTGCGCCATCTGCTCGCATGAGGCAAAAGGCGACGTTCTTGTAGTTGTCGACAGCTCAGCACCAGTGAGAGCACTGTTTATGCTGTGAAAGTTGCGTGATGATCTCAGGATTGAATGATGGCATCAGAAGGTTTCCTCAGCGTCAGGTAGAAGGTGTTGCTTACCCAAATCCCTTTGGCTGATTCACATGCCCGAACAAGCTAAAACGACTTTACAACGATCATTCATAACAACCCTTACGTACTTGTGGTAAATCTTGTCTAATTCAAGCTCCTGTCATATTTGTCTAGGCCCTTAAATAGTTAGACCCCTGTACTGCTTCTGTTGAAGTTGGACCGGCAAGCTCATGTCGCACACACATTACATGCAGTCTGCCCAAGGTGGTCGCGGTAACTTATTATCAGTCGTGCACTCCACCATGGCATCTGAGGTTCCAAACACTCAGCCCATAAAGATTCTAGTTCTTGGGGTGTATGTCAGGCGGCGTTTTTTTGGGGGGGGAAATAGCAATCTGCCCAAGGACTTTGATATGAAGGAGTTTGTCTCATTGGATGAATTCGTCGCGCGCGGAGCTGAGACGGGGTTGGGTGTCGTAAGTTTGGTAAAGCCAACCCTAAATCAGGACCTTATACCTATCATATGACCAGAATAGGATCCTAATTTGAGTGACGGGGTAGCGCTAAATCAGGATCTTATACCTATCATATGAGCAGAAAAGGATCCGAAATTGGGTGACGGGGATACCAAAATCCTCAGCTTGACTTTGATAAACTCAACCCCCAAATAAAGACCCTATCGGGGTTGCGTTTAATCTTTTATTTTGTCAGCTGACCTTGCTAGTGACAGGCCAGGACCAGATCCGCTAGATAGCAGAGTCCTTGATAAATCTGAGTGTCGAAGCCTAAGGCCTAACACGTATATAGTAAATGATAAGAAGGTTTCCTTATTATAGCAACTTAGTTTAAGTTCCTTGACAGCAAGCCAGTGCTGTCAAACGTTTCAGTACTCGGGCAGTATTTGTTTAGGAGTACCACTATACGGTCTGAAATATAAAGTAAGATTATATCATCCTTTGGGTTATAGTATGACGGTACTTTAGGTGAACAGCAGAATGTTGCCATACTAGGTTCAATCACCAAACAAACTACTCACCCTAACCGTAGACCGACCAAATCCTAGGCTCTAAATCTTAAACCCTGCACGCTAAACTCTATGAACCACCTTATGATCCTACCTTCCGTTTCCTGTTGCATCTTCTTTTCCGTTTGATTCTCCATCGAACCCTAAACCTTTCACCACGAGGTGGCAGTCCGGAATCCTTCAGCGATCTGGTGTGCCAAACAACAAGCTTCCAGATCTGATCCACACGCTCGTGGTGACTTGGGGGCAAAGAGATTTGGGTTTAGGGATTAGGGTCGAGGGATTACGGTTGAGGGTTTTGAGGTTTATGGAGTATTGGGGTTTTGGGATTAGGGGTTAGGGTTCAGGATTTAGTTTTCAGGGTTGAGGATGCAGGCCTTAGGTCTAAGATTAAGGGTTTGAGGTGCTTAAGATTCCTGAGGTTTAGGGTTTAGGCTTTAGGGCTGGGTGACCGATTTGGCAGATATGAAGTGTTCTTCCCCCCGGGCACATGATGCCGCAAGAGCAGTTCTCAAAGCTGTGTATCCCTCTGCTGGGGGTGGGGGGTTCAGAAATACTTGCCAGCAACATGCACAAAGTCACAAAGTCTTTCATGCCTTCCTGAACCGCAAATCCCAAAACCTAAGCCCTAAGTCCTGAAACCTGCAAGCTCAAACCCCAAGCCCCAAACCCTAAACACTATGCACTCAAGCCCTAAATCCTAAACCTAGGCCTTAAACCCAAATTCCCCCGTCCTAACACATTAACCCTCAAACCCCAAGCATTCAACCAATCGACTACATAACCCCTTTACAATCTTATATAATCGTATATATTCCTAGAGAAGCCCCCAAATCACCCCTATACAATCCCCATTCAAAACTGATGATCCTATGTATTCTTGCTTGCAGGACTCACTTCAGTGCATCTTCGAGATCGAGCAGCTAAATCAAAAGGTGCGAGTTGCTTGCAGGGCCATTTACAGGTGCATGAGCTGGGTTGCTGTTCAGGAACTTAAACTACGTCATCATAATATGGGTATATAGTACAGAAAAAGGTTTCCTTGTTATAGTAACTTTCATGGGTTCAAGTAGTACCCCCCTCTATACTACCGACCCTAGGTTTCCCGCTTGATTAAGGTTATTTAGGGATATTTAAGCCTAATTAAGGTTAATTAAGGGGGGCACCTAGGGGGGGTAGTATAGAGGGGGGTGCTACTTGAACCCATGGAACTTAGTTTAAGTTCCGTAAAAGCAACCAAGTAAAGGGATTGGGTGGAGTGAACACAGGTATGGTTGTCGGGACATATATGGGGTTCTGCTGTAGCGAGACATTTAGGGGATCCACTCGAAGTGCATGCAAGTAGTTGAAGCTTTCTCAAAACGTCCCCTCTACGGGCCGACTGGAAACCCCATAAACCCTTCTGAACATATACATCTCTGGGCTTCCCCAACTGTACCCTGTTTTGAAATTCTCAATCGTGGAAGTAGTAAATTGTGCAGGCCGCTGCTGGCGTTGACAAGACTTTTTCTGCCTTGTCGAACACAATCCAGGTCGCAGGAACCTCAGGTTTCCGCAGCCGCAATGCATTAGGTAGACCACCCTGTCATGGTGGTATAATAGGAAAATACGAGGACTCAAATATAATCACCATCATCCTTTATAGTCATTATTACTGGGTTTAGGGTTTAGGGTTTAGGGTTTCCTTTATAGTCATTATTGCTGGGTGGGGGGTCCACCTAAGCAATGCATTTTGTTGGTGCCTTCTTTTTGGTGCCTGGTCTGACAATGCACACAGGTTCATTTTTTCTCGGCAAGTTTCAGAATGGACGGAGGGCTTGATTTTCATTTTGTACGTGGTAGAAGTACATGTTCTAGTATCATTGTGAAGCTGATTACTGGTATTTACTACTATTCCCGAACCCCTGTCCCCTTGTATGTAACACCTCCTCTAATTACTACCCCCCATCATCATCGTAGCAAGACCGGGAGTCTATAATGGTTGGGTATGTTTAATGGGCGTAGGTGATTATTCTTCTGGCAGTTTGCGGCTGAGAGCGTGAGCCATGAAAGACCAGGGTGGCAGCTTGGGATAACTAGGAATCTCCCTGATAGTTTGACAAGGAGGCCTACTCCTAAATGCTCTGGGAGACCTTCAATTCACTGCTTAACACGGCTAGAGGATTGCACATCACGTTTCAAGGCTTACACGCGACTTTTTGAGACCTCAAAGAATCTGAGCTCCAGCGGAAAAATGCGCTAAAGAACTCAGAAGTTCTCCCTTGCCATCTTTTCTCGGGCTCCATGCCTCCAATGATCCTGAAGTCAGAAAAAAGCTAGAACTCCTGGTGTGCGAAAAGCTCAGGCGTCCCCCCCCTACTCCTACACCCTTGGGTTTAGGGTTTAGTGGTTTAGGGGTTTGGGGTTTAGGGCCTTGACCTTTTGGACCCTGAGCACCCAACACCCGAACCTTGTTCGCATTATCCCGACTTCAACTCCCAGACTCCAACAGACGTGTCTATAAAGGGAGGATCCTATGCTTTGTAGTTTTGGGTCATTCCACCACCCAGTAACTGTCCTTAAAAGGGCTTAATTTAACAGGCGAGTAGAACTCCTACTACCTTCTGTGGTGACTGTTACTGCAAGGGGGACAGACCTAAGTTATGGTCCTAATTCTAGGTCCCTGCAAACAATACATCATCTTCGGCAACTCCCGATCAAAAGTTCAGGTAGCCCAAACTACGCGCCAGCTGTACGCTCCGAAGCTTAGCGAGGTCCCTGCTGAGACACAGGCACCTGCCCCCTTTGAGGGAATGGATTAAGGGGTTTAGGGTTTGGAGTTTGCAACGTTTTTATTGTTTGGGGCCTGAGGTTGAGGTTGGGTTGAGGGCTTGCGGCCTAGGTGCGGTTTAGGGGGTGTAGGCGGGGTTTGAGGTGTTGGATTCGGGGTGTGGCTTTGAGGAACAAGCCCTTAGCTGTGCAATGAAGAAGCCAGACCAAATGTGAGCATTATCCCGCTATCATCCTCATGCAATATGGTATGCTTGGATCATGAGAGAGACAATTGGGGCTAGCATCATGATAACTATAGGTATAACCTCATTCAGGGGACATATAAGCAAGCAGTAGCAACCAAAAGGACGATGACGACGATGCCAGTGGCGGTGATGACAACTCCTCCTCCTCCTCCTCCTGCTGCTGCTGCTGCTGCTGCTGCTGCTGCTGCTGCGATTCTTCTTCTTTGCACACCAGCTATGATGTTACACCACACCTCAACTTGACCTGTATACCCTACTGCGGCTCCTGATGTGGGAGTTTTTCCATAATGCTTACATAATCACCCACCAGGACACCTGTAATCTTTCCAGACTCCCTTGGTACTGCTAGCATACCCACAGCTACCCCCCCCGTTTGAAGCTCTCCAACCCTGCACTCAAAGTCCTAAATGCTAAACCTCCCACACCGCCTTAAAGGGATCTTATGTAGGGTATCCCACATTTCGAAAATTCCCCAATTAGGTGAGACGGATCATGCAGTCTGCTGCAAGTCACTGGACCGCCCCGTGCCCCGCTGCAAGCAGAGAGGGGGGTATATAGACTTGTATGGATTAGGCTTATGTAGGGCTATATGGGGGGGCCATATGGGGCTTGGAAATATTACCTCTACATCGGAAGATCGAAGGGAAAAAGACAGTGGAACAAGAAATGGAAACTGGGGTTACATGGCTTACAGTATGTTGCGGTTTCCATACTTGTGGGGTCCCAAGGTAGACACAACGGACTAAAATCCGTGTTATAGGGACTCCAAAAAAGGGGCCCCTAGTTATTGGAAACCCCATGTGGTGGGGGACTTTTGCGTACATTTGGGATCCTCTTTTTGGTGGTGAGTGTGATACGGGTAGTATTTTGGGCGTATACCAAAGGTGCCGACGATGTAGACACTGTGACGCGAATATAAAGATCTTCTACATCGCAAGAAAGGTCATGAATGGATAAAACAGGAATTACATGGGATCATATGTCTGTTATGCAAGGGGCCAAGCTAGATTAAGTACATGGCATAAGATTCATGCAGGGAATATGCAGGGATCATCATGTACTGTGGGGATGATGCGAGGCTGTTTCCTCCCTTCCTTTTCTTCTGCAGAATTCATGGACCTCAGCTTGAACTGAACCCTAAACCCTAAACCCTGAACTGAATCTGGTTCTTGGCTTGGTGACATTATATGACCTACAGTCTAAAGTCCTTAAAGGGGTTATATAGAGGTTTATATAGGGGACTAATATAAGGGGTTACTACGGGGGATACTCGCAGTTTAGATGGTGACATTATATGGCTGTCAAATTGGGGTGAGAACGTGAATGACACGTCCATTCCATCAAGTGGGGGGAGCATCAAAGTCAAGCCTAACATCAGCTTATGTTAGGCCTTCTTTATTATACTACCCTAAAAGCCCAGGTACCCATGTAAAGATAGTATAAGTCTATATAGGGACCCAAGGACAGGAACCCAATACATATGTACCTGGGCTTCTAGGGCTATATTGTACCATAATCTACTACTAGGTCAACGCATGGTTCAGGCCGAACCTGGTGGACATGCAGTTGCTCGCTCGAACCTTCGCGAAGGCCTGTGATAGCAGGATCATGGAGACGTGCATCAAACAGCATGAAGCGGGGCGACGTAGCAACAACCTTTAGGTTGGCATAGGTCTTCCATCGTACGGCCTATGGGCTCGCGACCGTGTCTTGCAGTGTTGCCGCTGCCGAAGCATGTGTGAGCATGGCGAAAATAGGCTGGTTCCCGCAGTGTGTACGTAAAATAGAATCTGTAAACTCCAAGCCCTGATGGTGGATGTTTCCTTAACAGGTTTATGTACCAGTTTCCCAAAATGAGGTTCCGATTTTGGATGTTCCCGGAGAAATGTTGCATTTTTGATGTGCATACAAAACATGCCCTCTGTATCTAGAGCTTGGCAAAAACACTTGAAGGGTTAAGGGTTTAGGGTCGAGGGTGTTAGACTTTGGGCTTAGGAGTTGTCTTTTTGCTTGGAGTTCAGTGTAGAGCGTTTGGTGCCTAAGCTGTATAATGCCCTCCAAAAAACAAAACGCATTCGCTGTACCTTGATATTGTTCTGTATATTGAGCTTTCATGGCCACGCAGTCAATCCTGGTCTGAGACTCCCCTTTGTTTGATGGGTGTTGGCAGAAGATGACGGGTCCTGCTCAGAGGCATTTAAGAAGAACATCATTGTCTAACCCGAAAGCCTAAACCCACGGTATTTCGTGTGCACTTTGAGACTCTGGTTATCAAAAACGCCCAGACCTCCAAACTTGGCTGTTGAGGCCCCTGACCACCCCAGGTGGATTGCGGTCAGCAGTCAGTTCTTCACGCCCCGCTTGTTATGGGGAGAATTTATGTTCCAAACTCTAGGAATATCCCGGATTATGTGCTATTTTTCCATTCTGCACTTGTAAATTCTCAGCATCTCAAGCTTTGAGATGTTGAGTTATAGTATTTTCCATGTTCTTTCCCATTCCTATATATACTTCTCATAGAAACCCTAAATACCACTGCACACCCATATGTAATCCCCATGTTGTATAACCCCTTCGATTTTGTCCCTCAAGGCGCATGGGCTACAACCACTGGGTGCCCCGACAGCAAGCAGACTTCGGTTGCATCTCACCGCAGAACCTGAAGAACTTTCAGGCCCAAATGGTCCATGTAGGTATATGGTATATACTTAAGGCCCAATGGGGTTCCCATATACCTACATTAAGGCCCAAGTATATACCATATAGCTACATGGACCCTTTGGGTATTGAAGGCTCATGTAGGGGTAATTAGTCATCTTGCAGCCGCCAGACTGAGCTCGTTGAATGGGTTCCTTCTGCCAAGGACTCGTCCAAAGCATTGTCTTTCTGCGGCTACTATATATCCAATTTCTACATGCCTTTACCAGTCGAGCTTTAGGAATCGAACGGTTACCTCAGGATTTGAGTCCTCGCGGTCGCGGTCGCCGCAGAAGAAGCACACTCCCACCAACTCGTCTTCAGCATCCTGGCTGTGTGTTGTGGTCAAGAGCTATAGTCCCCCTTAAGTAGATTATGGTGTATATGGGGATCTTATGATAATATACCCAAAGCCATATTTTATCTACATAAGGGGGACTATAATCCGAGCACAGGGCTTCTGAAGAAAAATTGGGCGTTATGATGCAAGGATGTGTAACAAAAGGGATCTAGGTAGGGATGGAATATATACTTAAGGGGGACTATGTCCAACCCTGAACCCTAAACCCAAGATAGTAGTTTCCATGTTCTTTTCCATTATCCCTATAAAGCCCCTATGTAACCCCAATTTATACCCTACAATACTATAGTAGTTTCCATTTTCTTTTCCATTATCCCTATAAAACCCTTATATAACCCTTTATATTCTACTTAGGATGCCAGAGTCAGAGTCCCGCGTTGCTGCCTTGAGCCCGTAGACTCGGATTTGCAGCCTGATGTCTGATGCTCCCGTACCTGCGCACCTAAACCCTATAACTCCTCATAACCTGTATTCCCAGACCCCAGGTCCTTTCGCTATATCGCCATATATATATATATAGAGTCCCCAAATATACGGTTTTGGGTTTTGGGTTTCGGGCTTAAGGTTTAGGGTATACTCCCTCTGATATGGTGTTGAGTTCTCGCAGAGCCAACTGAGGTCCGACCGCGTACGAGGCAACTTCCTGCTTGATCTAAACGAGGGTTGATGAGGATGTATATGGAAAAAGGGTTTGGGTTTAGGGCTTAGGATAGGGCATGTATCTGGCAGAACATTGGGGGGTATATATTAATATGGGAATGGAAAAGAGAATGGAAATTGCTATGTATTGTCCAGGGTTTAGGGCTTAGGATAGGGCGTTTACATGGGAGAATATGGGGGTATATATGGGAATGGAAACCAGAATGGACACGACTGAATTATTTAGGGCCTGTGCTTGGGGCCGTATGTATACACAGTTTTTATGGGAATAGGAGACAATGAAAACTAGTGCATTATCTACGGTTTAGGGTTCTGGGTTTAGGGGCTTCGGGACTTCACAAATTCAAGCATTTGATGAATTGGAACCAGCTTCCATGGTGTACCACTCCTGTTTATCAGCCGGAGGAGTCGTAAGGCAATGTCATCTGCAACTTAAGCTATGTATTGAGGCTCCCATGGTGCCAATGATAGCATCTCAGCGGCGCTTGGCTCGCTAGATTCCCCGAGCTTCGCGCACTAAATCTTCTTGAGATGCTGGAGAAGCTTTATGGGCTTAAGTTGCGTGGCCTATTCCTGCATGTGTCTTCGCCAGTCCCACTACCACCCAGCCAGCATGCAAACCCATCAAATCTAAAGCGCCATAGCCTTGATACGCTCCACTTCTTGTTGGTATTCTTAGTCGGGAATTGACGGAATGGCGAAGAACATGAGAACAGGAGCTCGATTATTGGGCATTACATGGGGGCTGCTCCGGGGATTCACTCCGACAGTTGCAACTAAAACCCAGCAAGTCGTTTGATGTTCCAAGTCTGTTTGCGCGAGTGAACTGGCTCTAGCTTGTAGCAGGCAAGCGGCAGAGCAGTTGTCTGCCAAGATTTATGGTTAAATATCCTGGACCACAGGACGTTACGGGGTGGGGGCGTTCCCCAACGCAGCCCCTCAACGGCAGCTGCGGGCTGCGCGTTGGACACGCAGGTCGCTGGCAAGTAACCTGTTAGGTCCCTCGAGTCCTAGAAAAATTCAAAAAATCGGGAGCAACCTCCAAATCGTTCTGTTGTGGCGCCTTGGGGCGGACCTCTTCAAAGAAACCAGGCTTGCAGGCCTCGAGCCTTGGCCGCACCGCCGCAACATCCTGGCAACGTCCATCGAGTTGCACAGAACACCGTTTATGCAATTGCGTTTGGCTTTAGATTCGAAACGCCAAGCTCTGAAGGCCAAGACGCGAATATGCGAATGGGAGAAGAAGAGCACGATCGGGATTCGAAAGAACCCTAAACCCGTAGAGGCAGAGGCGGGGGTTGAGCGCCGGCGGGGGTGGGCACCTGCAAGTCGGGGTGCTTTCAGCACCAGCGCACCCCCTCACTGAGACACCCTAAACCCTAAACCCTGCAGTACACAGGGTCAGGGAGAATTAGTAAGTGGGATAGTAACCCCTAAAACCCATATAGTAACCCTACTTATCCCCCTTATTAACCAACTTACTAAGTCCCCCCAACCCAAGTATGGTGAGAAGCCGAGAGTTGTGGCAGGCGCAGCGTTCGGACCAAGGTCCAGGAGACCGGGGCGGGAACTTTTGGAGCATGAGATTTGCGGCTTAGGGTCTGGGGTTTAGGGCAGAACCCCCTAAAGGATCCCCAGAAGGATCCCATAACTACATTGGGGAACCAGGGATTATAGGGAGGTCCATGGAGGTTCCATTTTTGGATCCTTTAGGGGGGCTCTTACAGTTCTTAAGTTAGATAACGCCAGTGTTGTGTAACATAATGACCTAGTTTACAACCAGTGACGGGGTCCTGTGTTGGAACTGCCATATGCTGACTTCTAAGGTTAAAAGTATGAGCCCCTAATATGGGCCCTAAGGCCTTTTAGTGGGATTCTCGGGACCCTAAAGGCTACATATAGGGTGTATAGTGGGTATATCAGGATCCCAGGGTTAAGGGCCCATACTAGGGGCCCATAGCTTCAACCTTAGATGACTGCACCTCTGGGGGCTTGGAGCTCTCAGATGTGCACTTTGCCCCCGGCCATGACTTAGGGTTTAGGCCTTAGGGTTTAGAGTTTGGGTTTAGGGTTTAGGGTTTAGGTTGTTGTCTGGGTGAACGACAGTGCGCGCCTTCCATGTTCCCAGATGGAAAAAGCAACCTCGCGCCCCGTAGATGCTGCAATATGGAGATCTCCAGAAATAGCGGTCCTTCTTACTTTTTCCCAAACCATTCTCATCCTTATCATGTCATAGGGACTCACAAAGAAACCCTTGATTTGCAGGAACCACACGAGTGGTAGTTTCCCAAAATAGGGGGACCCCAATATAGACCCAAAAATACTTTAATCCTCACTATTGGGACCCCTAAAATGGTACCCCTAATTTTGGGAAACCCTAATCCCTATAATCCCCTTATAAACCCAGTTTCGATTTCATTTTCCATGTTCTTTTCCATTTGATTCTCCATTATACTAGGTACCCCTAATTTTGGGAAACCCCCAAATTTCAAACCCCGAGCCCTGGGCTTAGGGTTTAGGGTTCTTTTAGTTCGGCATTTCCGGGTTTGCAGTCTCTCCAGGCCAAGTGAGCGGAGGAAGAAGAGCGCTCCAGAAATGCAAGTTGGTTTATAGACTGTAGACCTAATGTGGGAACCGCGAAAACGACCAACAATGGACAAACGAGTGGAAGAGATGCTGGAACATGAAATGGAAACTGACTCAGTAGTCCCTCAGCTGATTGAGGCAAATCCTGCAGCAAGCCGAATTTCAATTTCTTCGCATCAGACCATCTAGTTGTGTGCTTGGTTGACAGCTGTGGGCAGGAGTCACTGGGACAGATAGTGCTGTGTGTCCCTGCCGTTAACGACGGACTGACGCAGGCACGGGCAGATTTCTGCTAGCTTTGTGCAGTGTCTGCAAGGTGTCAGAGAAGGGGCTTGCGATGGCTTGCATGCGTTTACAGTAACCAAGATTGGCAAGACTCGTGCTTTGGGGCTTCTGTTGATCTTTGAGGAAAATTAGGACCTCACAATCCCCCCTGTCCGTGCGCATGTTGACAGGCAAATGTTGCATGTCTTGCCATCAGTATTGCCGTTAGTACGTAGACCGCCTTGCCCAGAGCGCTTCCTTCTGCAGGTGCCGAACTGGTTCGCGCAGGTGGACAGAACGGTATTGGGTGAAGGGGGCGGCAAAGCTACTCGGCTGCAGTAGATCCGTCATGAGTGCCGCAGAGAATGTAGTCCAAAACATCCCTTGCCATCTTTGATGGATAGGCTTGGACTGGTAGCAAAGTAGCTTATAGAGCTTTTGTACAAACATCCACGGCCACATCTGTGAGGATATGCTTCTATACGAGCTGGACCGCCTGCCAGTTTGCTTGCACGAGCAGTAGGTGACCTCCTGATATGCGCCGACTCATCTTGCTGCGGTTCTTGTCTTCATTGTCATGATTGGCATTCTGACCTTTTCGCATGGCGCTTTTCTTCTACATCTCAACCATGCAATTCACAAGCAATTGAAGTCAACACAGCTGCCATAGTTGTGACCACGTCTCGATGGTGTGAAGCTTCCTCCAGTATCACAGTCTTGGCCATGTTGCATTATCTAGCATTGCCTTTCGAACTAGCCTCCGAAAGTTGTACCTAGCGGAAACATGTGCTAAGCAGAATCGGGCTTTTCTGTGGTCGCGAAAGATCTGCCAATGCACGGCGAAGAGTGCGGCGCTAGAGTAGCATATAGGATTTGTCCAGACATAGCTTCTGCAATGTCTTTTTGACCCGCCAAACAGCTGCAAAAGGTACGGCAAGAGGGTGGTTTCTGGGAGCAAGAATCACTAACATGGTTCCTGCCCAATCCTTACTCAGTTCTAGCATAGCAGACGCTAACCTATTCTGATCACTTTCCTCTACATTAAACTCCAAACCCTAAACCTTGAACTCTTAACCCTAAGCTCGAGACCCTGAGCCCTAAACTGGAAACCCTAAGCCCTACACCGCAGGACAGAACTGGCATCATGCCCGCCTGGCGCCAGGTGAAGGTGGAGCCCTTTGCCAGTTTCTCAAACTTGGATTTGGGGTTTAGGTTCCCTTACTTATACATGTATATATATATATATGTATGTATGTATGTATGTATGTATGTGCTTCTAGATATGTACGGATGGGTTGTTCTCTCCAGGTTTCATATAAAGATGATTTTCCGAATGTCCCAACCAAAAGCTAGCTAGGACATAAGGGCACTGAGTCCCGAATGTCTTTTCGTTTCAGGTACTGAAGATCATCAAGACACGTTGCAGCATCACTTCATAGCATCTTTCTGCCACAATGTACTCCAATTCTGGAGGTCGAATCCTTGTGACTTACCCAAGCCCACCGCCGCCGCCGCCGCCGCCACCACCACCACCACCACCAACAACAACAACAACCACAACAACCACAACAACAACAAAAGCAGCAGCAACAACAACAACAACAACAACAACAACAACAGCAACACCAACAGCAACACCAACACCAACACCAACAACACCAACACCAACAACACCAACACCAACAACAACAACAACAACAACAACAACAACAACAAAAGCAACAGCAACAGCAACAGCAACGGCAACGGCAACGGCAACGACAACAACAGCAGCAAAAGCAAAAGCAACAGCAGCAACAACAACAAAGGCAACAGCAGCAGCAGCAGCAGCAGCAGCAACAACAACAACAACAGCGGCTGCAGCAGCCCCAAAACAATGCAGTGTGAAAAGGCCACTGATCTTGAAATGATTATGGCATGCTTGGAGGCGCGGTCTGGTAGTTATAAGCTATAGAGAGGATAACTGTAATTATACCCTTACCTCGGGGAGGAAAGATCCACTTATGACTACCTGTGGGGTTGCATACGATTTCCACAACTTTTCAGAAACATCCCAAGGACCCATGGTGCTAGGGCTAAAGGTTCAGGGTGTAGGGGTTTAGGGCTATTTGACCAAACGGAAAATCAAATGGACAAGAATATGCCAGATGCCATGGAAACCTGTTATTACTTTTTTTCTTGCTGTACCACCATTAAACATATTCTCTTGTTCAGCCTTCTTCTCAATACTTCACATGTTTCAGGTAATGTAAGCCGCAAACCCATTGGGTTATCCCCGAATCCTATACCACTGGGGTTCACGGGCTCCACAAATTCTATTTGCCTTGCAATCCTTTCAACGATCTTCATTTTGGCTGGTTCTTTGGGACCGTGCTATGCAAAGACCTGTTAAAGTTTCTCCTGCACACGTTTGCACCCCTCGAACTTTAAGTCTCTCCCTCGCGCGGTCAAGGAGATAGAATCGGAGAAGCTGAATGTCAAACGCAGATTGGGAAAGGATGCGATTATGTGAACTATAGTCTAAACTCCTTGAGGGAAGTTGTATAGGGGATTATTTAGGGGACTATTATAGGGTTATTAGGGGGTATACTAGTAGTTTAGACTATGGTTCATCTGAGTAAGCCCGGTACAGACGTATATGAATGGGTTTGAGAAGCACTGTATGAGCCCAAAGCGTCATATTTCCCAGGTGGCGTTCCGCTCAAGACCTGAAAACTTGATCCTGAGCCCTCAGCCCCCAAAGCCTGAACCCCGAACTCTGCCCTAGACCCAGAACCCCACACCCAACAGCCTGAATGTAGACCCCTGATTGATAAACCCCGCTCTTTTTTAGGGGCCTTAAGATTAGGATCCCCATTATAATCCCCATTAAGGGGAGAGGGTTTATTAATCATGGGTTTACATTACGAAAATCTTTCTCCAGCAGGATGACAGTCACTTCCGAGATTCCATGGAAGCGCTGCCGAGGGAGCGATCTGAAGATAGGGTTTAGGGATTTAGGGATTTAGGGTTTAGGGTTTAGGGTTAGCCTCAAGGGTGTCGGGACTCATGTTATTAGGGTCTTTGGGCTCAAATACTATATGACTGTTCTTTACTACCTTAAGCCCCAATAGTTGGGTCCTTGGACCCTTAGGGTAGGAAAAAGGTCGAAGTTCCAATAGCCAGCTTCACTTCAATCCTATAGCTCCTTTTGTATACCTCAGTTCCATGTAAGTACTTGAGTTTCGTAACATATCTACCATTGTGTACTATCGCACGGTTTTGCCTATCTTCCCACTCTACCCTAGAACGCTATTCCACTCCTCCACTCTACACTTACAGCGGCAACTTTTCTTTACGACTTTCCTCTGTTACGGTTCTCCTCCGTTATTCTTTGCCCGAAGCCCGGATAAGATGAGCAATTCCTATGCGCTAAATCTTACAGGCCCTAAACCCCAAGCACCAAACCCTAAACTCCCAATCCCTACCTTGCGAGTAGAGCTACCGTGGTCTGTGGCCTCTTCCCTTGAGGAGCTGCAAGTGCTGGGCCTCTTGAAAGCCAGGAGCTCAGCGTGGTACTGTGAGGGATGAAAGTTTTGTGAGGAAACTGAAATAGGGTTCAGGGTCAACAGTGTGGTCAGATTCCTTGTATGATTATAGTTTAGGATACTTCACATAGACTTTGAGAACTTTTTTTTGTTACGGCCCTGCGTTGCATTTGGCTCAGTGTTTCGGCTCAGGGTCGATTATTTAGGGGTCAGGTTCTGCGCGCTAACGCCCTGGCTACCCAAGCCCAAAGGACGACAGCAAAAACATGCAAGCACAAGGCGCTTCACAGAATTAGATTTAGGGTTTAACGTTTAGGGCTTAGGTTTGGGCTTAGAAGGACAAACCGGGCTGATTATGGACCTAGCGCTCCTGATTTGGCAGAGCAGCATGGCCGAGTTCCCGAGCCCTCAGTATAACATAATCTGGGTTGCTGTGAAGGAACGTAAATTAAGTTACTATATTGGGGAAACCCTATTATTTACGATATATACCCATTATGGTAACTTAGTTTAAGTTCCTTAACAGCAACCCAGTAATATGGTCAACAACAGCAGGAAAGCTACTGCTCATGTTCTGCCTCACAGATACAAGGGTTTCCCCAAATTGGAGGTACCTTATTTGGGAGTCCCCATGTTAAGGATTGTAGTATTTGGGGGGTTTATATCGAGGTCCCTATTTTGGGAAGCTACTCCATCACAACCACCATTAGGCCGATGTCGACCACCAACAGTCAACCCTAAATCCTAAACCAGGCCTTTAAAACAAGCACCAGCTCTCCCCTCTCTCTAGTAACCCCTGCCCCTAATATCCAAGCACCTACCCCCCTAATAGTATTACACATTCCCAATATATAGGGAGCGTCTAATATTAGAGGCTGGGGGGGGGTGGGGTGTTAATATTAGGTGAGAGGATTACGCATCATCCCTTTAACAAAGCCAAGATATGCTAACCCTTAGCTGCAAGTAGCAAACAGGATCAAAGACGAGAGGATGTGCAGTATCAAGGGAGGTGCTGCTGGAACATAACCTGCTGATGTATGTTGCAGCTGAAGTGCAACCGAGCTGAGGCACAAGCTCTTATGGGAAACCAGTTGAGCTGGCATGCCATCCGCATTGCCTTGACTCGGGCCGTGTCCATGCAGATCATCAGCGAGGTACGGTGGGCTGGCATGTAGGGATTTTGAGCTATAGCCTCATTTGCACTAGACTGGTGCAGAAGAGCTTTCAATTTCTGAGGGCTCTGGGTGCCGCATTGTTAACCTACTCCTAAAAAGGCTTGTGCAATGGCGCCAAACCCCAAACCCCGAACCCCAAGCCCTAAACCCCAAACCCCAAACCCTACACCCCAAACCCCAACCCCCCAAACCTAAATCCCAAACCTTAAATCCTAAACCCCAAACCTTCAAACCTAAACCGGACTCCAAGGGAGCCTCAAACCATGGCAGGACGACCTCGAGACCTTCAGCAAAGACATGCTCATCAAGGCGGCTGCGGAGGTGAAAGAAAGCCGACATTTCTCAGAGCTTAAGGACCTTTTCAGGGAGATAAGGTGGGTATAGGGTTTAGGGTTTAGGGGTTTAGGGTGAGAATATATATTATATTATATTATACTATATTATATTATATTATATCATATTATATTATATTATATTATATATATATGTGTGTGTATACATTATACTAGATATAGGACCTTCCAGTGCCTCTTCAGGGAGATGAGGTGGGAGTATTACGCCATGGGATTGAATATTTAGGCGTTAGATAAGGCTTTTGGGTCACTTCAGGGGAGACAAGGTGGCTATGATGTAATGGGAACAATTAGGCCTCAGATATGGTTGTTTTTAGGGTTGGGGTGGGGACAGATACATTACAGCATGCATGCATACATACCTACATACCGACATACCTACATACACACATACGTAGATACATAGACGTACATATGGCTAACATTAGGAACACACCCCTTTAATGGGCCTGTAAGCCGGGTAGCCGTTTCGCGCTATTTTTGTGGCACATGTGCTTAAGGCTTAGGGGTTAGGGTTTAGGGTTCAGGGTTTGCTGTGAGTTAGCGTGCAAGCAGAGATGAGTAGGTGTCAATGATCCTTCAAGTGCATGGCTGCATGCGAGGAGCTGCCATGGCCTGAGTGTAGAAGGCCATCTAACACATTCACCCACCCTACGCCGTCTGAGGCGGCCAAGCCACCCAAACCTATTGCTTTTAGGGTTTAGTTAGGACCTAAACTCAGTTAGGTCCATCTTGGTCAATGACACCTCTTCATTTTTGCTTTTCTGCTTTTGTTTTTGAAAGTTTGGGCCCTGGAAGCCCCAAGAACCCAGTAAACAGGAGGCACCATTGCCATCGTGCCCGCTCTCCACCTTATTAACAGCCACGCCAAGCTGGAATCTGCTTAGAGTCGCCATTCAGGATGTTCGTCATGAAGGGCGAATGGCATTGTCAGCTCTGAACAGGAAAGGAGGCCCCTGGAAGGTGCTTGGGAGGCCCCAGGAGGCCCTCACACTCTTTAAAAGGCAAAACCTTGAAAGGTGCTAAGAAGTTTCGTGAGAAGGTTGGGAGGCTACTGGGAGGCCCCGCTCAAAGGCCCTGGTACCTAGAAGGTGCCCGAGGCCCTGTAAGGCGCTGGAGTTTTGCGGCTCAAGTCCGCAGCTGAAAAGGCTGTGGCCCGAAATTTGCTCGCAAAGGAGGGCTGGACCCCCCAGCACCTTTCAGGATGGCCCCTGACAAAACCAGCAAGCGACCTCTCGGGTAAATTACTTGCAGCCAGTACTGGTTGCAAGGAGAACAGGTTCCGGTACCGGGCCTACCGTGGGTGCTGCGCTGTGCTTAGGTCGGTCCGCCCAAGGGTTTTAAGGCGCATAGGCGCCACCCACCATCGTAGGTGGGCGGCCTAAGCCTTAAGTTTAGGGGTTACGGTTTAGGGTTTAGGGTGTCTCCGAATAGTCTTCACTGTCGTGATAAGATGATGCTAATAGTAATAACGTTCATAGCCACAAGAATAGTCGCAATACTTTTACCCACCTCGCGAGCCGCTGGAAGTTGTCTCTGAACTTTGACGAATTGCCGGCACTAGAAGAATTCCCCCAAACCGGATTCAGGGACTTAAATCTGATCTGCTGGCTACAAGGTCTGCCCATGTGGGCGTTATGCGGGAGAAGGGCTTGATGTTAGTTTGACTTTTCAAAAAGTGCATCTGTTGGGATATGCTAAGACACCAGCTCAAAATAGAAAGGGGGTGCTTGCACTTACGCGCGACCGAAACACCGCCTAAACTATGGAAGCCTAAGGTCTTTGCAAATAGCAAATACAAAAGAAATTGTAGCCATAAGATAAGCTAGCAATGGCAATAAGAGTAGTTCTGGCAATCTTAGTATTATTTGTTGCACCAACAGAGAATATGTTGGCAGCCTTCTTCTAGCCTTCTTCACCTTGTGTACAGTAGGGAATGCGGAAATGGATCTCTATAGTAGTCCCTCTGTCATTCGCAACAACGGTTCCTCCAACAAGTTTCCGCATTCCCGATTACGCACCAGGGTAGTGTAATACCAGCTCACTCAGCCCTAAGCCCTGAACCCTAAACTCTGTACCTTAAGCCCTAAACCCGGAACCCTTAAACCCTGAACCCTAAGCCCTAATGCTGGGGTATTTGACTCCAGGACTTGCATATCGTTTTGGAAGACGCAGCACAGGAGTATCTCGACCTTCAGGTGGGGGCCGGGGGCAACTGGGGCCTACTTAACCTTGCTGGGGGTGACAAGGGGATACGGGAAAACAATTTACAGGGATTATCTTCCCTTACCACCTACCACCCCCCAAAAACTCATTAGAATATGGTTTAAGGTTATTGTAGGGTTTAGGTTTGGACTGTAGGGGTCTAGTATCGGGAGCAATCTATACGGATTTATTCGATGATAATGTACCTGATGATTGAGGCTTCCTTCGCGGGTTTGAGGTTAAAGTTTAAGAGCTGAGTCAGAGTGGCCCACATAGGTAGCTGCATAAACAAGCTTTAATTAAGACTATATGAATATGTGCTAGTCCTGGCCTCAGGTCCTTCCAGGAGTTTGAGCGCTTATCCACACGGGCATTTCCCCAAAAAAATACCCAGAATTAGAATCAGATTCAATTTTTTGACAACCGCCTCAGCGACAAAGGGGTTAAAAATAGACGCAGGCGTAAGCCCATCCGAGCTCCTGAGCTCCCCTAAGCCCAAAATCCTAAATCCCAAGCCGTAAACCCTAAGCCTTAAACCCTATAAACCTGGAATCCTGAGCGCTAAGCCCTACATCCTAAACCCCAAACCCTTAAGTCCTGAACAATAAGCCCACGATCCTAAACCCGAAATCAACGACGTGCCAGGTTGTGCTCTCTCCGCTGGAAGTGTTGACGGCGCTTTCATCCTTGGAAATTCTGAAGGCCTGGGGCTCAGCGCTTGGGGTTCAGTGGGTTTTGGGTGTTGTGTGTAGGCATCACCTGAGTATTGCCTCTAATATGGGGGTCCTCTTGGTGTTCGGAAGGGAAAGTAAGACTGAATGCATGTGCCCAGCAGCTCCTCTAATCATAAACACCCGCACGGACGATATTACCTGGAAATGTTTTGCATTTGCTTGTATACATAGATGTACATATAAATATAAATTCAGAAATCTACATATATAGCATATGTAGGTAATACAATGCCCGACTATGTTAGGAGTATTCACGATGGGGATGGGGGGGTCGACTTTCCAGTGGAGTGGTTCGTTCTCCTGGTTGGTGGTGTCGTTCAAATTGAACTGGTGTCTCCCTTCATAACGGATAGTTATTGTGGACAATGTCAACGTCCGTGTTTTGGAATACACCTTTTCGAAATGCTTACGGTAACCCCCGCGAAGCCATGTATGCTGCATGCCCTAGAGTAATCCCCTTAGCACTCCTCAGAAACGGCCTAGGGGTGTTACATACTTGCTTAATCCCCTCCCCATTCCCCATTCGCCCCGTATACCCTCAATCCCGAAACCCCATTCCCCATATACTCCTTAAGGGTATATATCCTAAACCAGAAGCCTTGAATAATACAACCATTTTCATGTTCTTTTCCATTCCTCACATATGTCTATGTACTTTAAGTCCCGAAACCCTGAATGATGCGGTAGCTAAATCCGGAAACCCTGGATGATACAGTAACTTCCATTTTCTGCCCGATTTCCTATATACCCCTAAATTCCCTGAACCCTAAACCTTAAATTATACAGTAGTCTCCATCTTTTCTCCGTTCTCCTATATACCCTTAAATTTCTAAACGCTAAAACCCTAAGCTCAAATAGGAAGAGTGGAAAATGACGAGGCAAGGCTAATCTCCCACAGGCGTGATTCATTCCCCGGATGGTGTAGGTTTTGAGGTTCAAGTGGTATAGAGATAGCAAAGAAAGGGGGGAACATAGGCATAAGGGAAAAGAACATGGAAACTACTATTTAGGGTTTAGGGATTTGAGGTTTGCGGTTTAGGGTTTTGGGGGTCAAAAAACTATTGAAAAAAGTGTTTTGTTTATAGTTTCATTGAAAGTGCCGGAAGACTCGCGATGCGACCAGGTTTCCGATGAAGTTGTGGAGCAGCTGAAAGCTGAGATGAACGACCATCCTATGTCTTGATCCTTCGCTAGTACTTACCAGTGCCTCAGGGAGGGAGGGAGTGGATCCCATAATATTCCTTACGGAATCCATATATATATATATACCCTTATAAGGACCCCTATATATATTCACTCCCCTACCACCCCCCTTTAACACCAGTAAGGCTAGCCCTAAGGGTCCACGTACCCAATAATCAGGTACTTAGGATTTTGGTACTAGGAATTGTTGTAGAGATTTTGGGTTGGTATATAATTATTGGGTACTTGGAGCCTCAGGATAGTAGCGCTGTGCGTTTGTATGTTATTTATGCAGCCTGGCAAACAGCGGCAGCCGCAAGTAGGGTACTAAGACGGTCTTGGTAGCAGCAAGAATCCGCAACAACCGATAGCAATGTTCATTGTTTGACCAAGAGCTTCAAGACCTTGAAGGATGAGGGGGTTTAGGGTTTAGAGTTATGTCCCTAAACCCCAAACGCTAAACCCAAAACCCTGAACTCTAATGTGCACACAATGCAGAGCGAGGCTGCCGTGGGCCCAGGAGTCCAGGTCTGGACATTTTGAAGCAGACCTGGGGCCATCTTCACCAATCTCCAATGGAGTGGTGGAGCAGTAACATATATAACTTAGGAGGACCCCCCCATCCTGTAATAGTGGCTATAAGGGATAATGAGGATTATACTAGGGTCTTCTTATAGTCCTTCTATACTACTATTACAGGGTGGGGGGAGTCGTCCTAATATATAACATGCAGTCCCTTCCTGCTTGTAAAAACACGGGATGTATCTCAGGCATAGAAGAGCAGCTTGTTTGCAAAGAACAGGGCCAAGGGATTATGCATCACTGGCACCAAACGCCTGTGGCGTCTGCGTGTCACATAGCTTGGCAAGGTCAGGCTGTGGACTCACTCTGCGAGTTTCCAAGATTCTCGCGGTTTGTCAGGAATTCTGCGCTCGATTGCGCTCGTGAACGCATCCGCATCTGTGAGAACTAGGACCGAAGAAGATTAAGCATAGGCATCTCGTTGTGGGCAAGTCCTCTTGATTTGTAAGTGGTGCTCTCAGGCCAGTGAAATGTGTCACAGATGGGGCATGGATTCGCAAACGATGGCAGAGTGGGGCAAAAACGACAGCCAAATATGTTGAGAGGCATCGATATACGAACTAGGAACGGGCTCATGTACGCAACCATAGGCAACGCATGTAGTTGCGTGTGAAGCAAGGTGGCCAAAGAGATGGAGCTTGAAGCAAGCTAGTCTGCTTCTTGAAGAGGACTGGCTAGTTCATTTGTAGTTTGGGGAGGGCCGCCCCTGCATGTTTTTTAGCAGCTGCTGGCAGCTGACAAGCCAGCCGGAAACGTATTGCTGCAACATCGTCTGACTCGACTACGCTGACTGTGCAATGCTAAGCTATACTACAGTACGCGACCATCTATCTATATATCTATCTGTCTAGATATATATATATATATGTTTTTTGCTCGGAACCTGCTGCACTTGCTTTGGGCTATACACGGCAAGCATTCCTGTCATCCACATTTCATGTGGGACAACCCTAAACCCTAGACACGATGGTGAAAAACTAAAAATCCTACATGACCCCAAGTACCTCATACTTTGGGAATTATTTATGGTACTATAGAATGTAAAGTTCATGCGGGATTTTGAGTATCAACAATATGGATCCAATTAATCAAGTCACCTGTCTGTTTTGCAGTTGAGCTGCGGGCATACTTTCTTCAATTGGCGCTTCGAGGCCAGTTGTGACCTCACATTGTATGCTTTAGGTGGGTAGTTGGTCTTAGGTTTAGGGTTTGGGTTGAGGGTTGGAAATACTCACCTAATCGTTCATGGCAACAGATTGGGAGTGCTCCTTTGTTTGGGGGTTGGGGGGCCTATACTGTTTGAGGGAGGGGCTGCTGCATTTGTACGGCAATGGCTCTCACGCTTCTAACTACCGCTCTTGCCACTGTCATGACGATGGTCCGTGGGGCTATCGTAATTGCGTGTATTCCGGGTATCATTCTTTCAAGGTTTTTCTTTTAAAGACTTAGCTCAGTCATAGATCTTCCACGCCAAGCATGGGCTGTTTAGCGGCATTTGTGATTGAGAGCTTTGGGACCTCTTTCTCGGCTTCAGGGGATATGTGGTTTGAGATTCTGCTGCTTTCGGCCTGAGAGTGTACATGTGTATCTACCTCCGTAACAGACAGGGGTTCTGTTGAAACTTGCCTGAGTGGGTGTCCCCTTTGGGACTCCTACCCCATATAAGGTTTGGGGCTACAGCTCAGAGATCTGGTTTTAAGGTCAATGGTTCACGCTTACTGGAATACCCCTAAACCCTAAACCCTGTTTTAAAACTTGCTGAGCCATCTCTGGGCATCGCCATGAAGAGGGCTTTAGCATTTTGGGGCCAAATTTGCGGCCCTCCGCATTGATTTCTGCGATTTTCTGTGGTTGCTTTTTTGCGGCCCGAAGGGTGTTCCCATGTAACAGCTCTGGGGCCCAAGTGAGCCCGCTTGTCTGCTTGTGTACCATGTTTACTAGAAGAGGCATTGCAGTTGTTATCGTTTTTGCAATTTTGGGTTGACACTGCTATCTAGCTGTTATCTGTCATTGTTGCTGACTGAAAGTCCTATATCTGAAGTTCCATCGTTTTCGAGAAAAAATATATTTGGGGGTTCCCAAAATTAGGGGTACCATTTTGGGGGTCCCAATAATAAGGACTGTAGTATTTTGGGGTCTATATTGGGGTCCCCCTATTTTGGGAAACTACCACTTAACCTCAACCTAAACCCTAATTTAGCCCCAACCTGCCCTAACTGCCCTCGGCTCTCTTTCAGGGCTCTTTGAAGATTCAAGACGCGGCTGCGGGCGTGCGAGAACAGCTTGCCAAGAACCCAGATAGCCCCACTGCCATGACTTTCTCTAAAAGAGGAATCCTAAGTCCTAAATCATGGACCTGAAAACCAACGCAGGAAAAGACATATCAACCCCCAAAATGTGTTTTTTGGTCCTAGGTCCTTGTGTTCTGCGTTACGATTGACGCGCACTGGCGGGATTCTGGAGTTTTGTTCCCCAAAGAGGCTCTGAACCCACCCAGCCCTGTATGCTGAGATATCGGACCTTGTTTAAAAACGGATCCGAACCTATGTAAGCATCAAGCTGCTTGGTGTGTACAATATTTTTGTGGGTTTACAAGTCAGGATACCCCCAATAGTAGATCATCGGGGTTACCACACATACATGTGAGTGTATATATATATATACATATATATCCCCCCCATGATCCACCGAGGAGGCATTTTTCTAGTGCAAAATGGTATTTCAGTTTAGTTCGTTACAACTATTTTTGATCACAGTCATTATGGAGGGGTGTCTCCATATCTATATATATATATTATATGTCTACACACGCACAGTCTCTCCCCTCTTTCTCCTGAGGTCATAGCTTTTTCCGAACAAACGAGCGGTCTCTTCGGCATCTCCCCAGAAGACGCCGCGCGCTCCCGCGCGCGCGGGAAGGCGATCCAGGCCCTTCCATGGCAACGTGGGAGGAATTCTGTGGGGATGGACATATTTCTGGTGTCCATAGGGCTTACGTTGGGGTTTGGGGCTGGGAGATTCGCATGTAGGGATGGATTCTTTCTGGAGTCGAATCGCCTCAGGATGTAATGTTGCCTGTTCTTGTCTTTTTCTCATTGCCTGTTTTGGGCTTCGCTGTTCTCCGGCGATTAGAACAGGCATCTCGAGGCAGGCACGACGTGACTACATGTTTTCATGGGCATCGTTCTGGACAGACTGGAATGGGACTTCATGGCCTTATGCAGGGATTACCGTGGTTTCTCGTAATTATGACAGGTAGAGGTGCTAGAAGGGGAGATGAGGGGCTAGGGTTTAGGGTTTAGGCTTTGAGACTAGCAGTATTGGTATACACATATGTTACTTTCCCTAAATAGGGGGATTCAACTGTAGACGCCAAATTAATATAATCCTTATAAAGGGGGCTTCTAAAAAGGGATATCGAATAATGGGAAGTAGATATGTATGTGTATATGTATACATATATATATATGTATATGGTAGCGTGTATATATATATAAATAAGATCTCAAGGGATAGATATTTCAGGTTTTGCGGGCTCTGGGGATTGATTTAGCGGGAATCGTCTGCATTCTGCCAGGACCCAAGAATCGAAACATATTCAAGGGGGCCTTGCATCACTTGCCCGGTCCTCTTTCAGCGGTTACCAAGACACATCACAGGGCGCCTCTTCTAGATGCGGATGATAAGTTACTATAGTCCCAGTGAAAATTCAGATTCGATCCTCGTTTTTGTTGAAGGGTTCTGTGAGAAGCGTATGACCTGCATGGGTTCACCCCCCCAACTGGACTGCTGTTCAGTAACTTGGAAAGGTTACTTTCATGAGGAAACCCCGTTCGTGAGCATAGATGCATATTGACTTGGTTTAAGTTCCTGAAGAGCAATCCAGAAAAGTCTACTCACATTAGCAGGTGGCGCTGCGTGCGCTTTTTCAGTGGCAGGACGGCGAGAGGCCTTCCTTTAACAGGGCTGGACAGCGATCTGTGCTTTGTGGCACCTTAGGGTTACTACGTACTGTGTTAAGGAACCTCCCTGCAAAGAATTACACAAGGGCTAGAATGGGCCTACCAATGGGATATAACATGATACATTACATAGCTCCAGGGACCCTCAGACTAAGTGGAAGGTTTTCAGGTAAGCCGCCTTCCAGGGTTTAGGATCAAGGGTTCTACATGGGTGTAAGGTGTTGAAAAGGAACATGAAAGATTGACTGTGGAGATGTCACAGTTTTTTTGTGAGAGCTAGCTTAGCTGTTGGTTTTTGTCTACTTTGGAGGTGCCTCCTATAGCTATAGCGTACGCTCTCGAGCTAATCATTCCTTGCTATTTTGTGGCACATCTTTCTCACCTCAACCCTAAACCCTGTCCCAGGCTGTTTTGACAATCTCTTTTTGTCCGGTCCTCCGCAGTACTTGTAGGAAAT